AAAATGACTTAAAATCGGCTAAGTATAGAAAAATGCAGGTCTCGATTATGGGAAATGCGAAACAGGTTTCGCATTTGCGAACCCTTTGAAAATCTCGGACTTTCGCAATTGCGATCAGAACGTCGCATTTGCGACTAGCCCTCCTTCGCATTTGCGGACCAATGGGTCGCATTTGCGATCACGCCTGCACAGTCCACTTCTCGCATTTGCGAGACTGGCTTCGCAAATGCGAAGCCTGCAGATCAGAAATACCAGCTATTTTTTTTTTCAAAGTTCAAAATGCACTCGTGGCCTATCCAAAACTCACCCGAGCCCTCGGGGCTCCAAACTAAATATACACACAACCTCAAAAACATCCTACAGACTTATTCGTGCGATCAAATCGCCAAAATAACATCATAAACATCGGATTAAACCTCAAAATCCATGAATTCTTTCAAACTTCTTAAAACATCAAATTTTCCAATTTAGGTCCGAATCACGTCAAACGACATCCGTTTTTCACCAAATTTCACAGAAACATCTTAAGTCATATATAAGACCTGTACCGGGTGCCGGAACCAAAATACGGGCCCGATACCATCAGGTTCTAATCAAATTTCATTTCAAAACCTTATAAATAATTTCAGAAAATAATTTCTTTCAAAAATTTATTTCTCGGGCTTGGGACCTCGAAATTCGATTCTGGGCATACGCCCAAGTCCCATATTTTCCTACGGACCCTCCGGGACCGTCAAATCACGGGTCCGGGTCCGTTTACCCAAAACGTTGACCGAGGTCAAATTAATTCATTTCATAGTCAAAATTTACCATTTTTCACAGATTTTCACATTTAGGCTTTCCGGCTACACGCCCGGACTGCGCACGCAAATCTAGGTGATCCAAAAGAGGTTTTTAAGGCCTCGGAACGCAAAATTCAATTTAAAAACAAGTGATGAACTTTTGGGCCATCACATAATACAAAACGTCTATGATTTTTTTTCTTTTGTTTTGGTCAAGAACGTAAACGTGGTAAGGATATACGTTCGGAAGAAAATAAATTAATTATATGAGATCTGCATTGAATATAATATGCATTTAAACTATGCTTCTCTTTTGATTTCTTGTGGTTGATACCAAATTAATCATTCATTTCTATTTCTCAATATTTGTTATGGTGGATGATCACGCCCAACTATGCCTTATAAAAAGGACTAAGCGGTCGTTGCAAATATAATCCGGTTTACAAGTCCGGAGTCGAATCCCACAGAGAACTAAGGTTTAGCTACAGCTGTTCACTATCACCAAGAAGACAAGCTTGAACAATTCCTAACTTATAGATATTAAGATTCTTGTGTTTAACTACTTAACTAACAAATTAAAATAGTAAATTAACAACTAACGATACTGAGGGTTAGAGAAAAGATTAAGGAGGTCTAGAGTTATGATTTCCCCTATTGTCGGAATCCTTCCCGCTATGTCTTCTATAATTTCGCCTAAGTATTCTCTACCGATCATGAGCACTCTTATTACCGTAATCTCTCCCGAGTAATTACGACAATTTACTAGACGCACTCTCCCGAGCTACGCTAGCTGGCTTTTAATACAGCTCACTTCAGATGGCACCCAAGGCTTCGTTATCCCTAATCCCACCTTTAAACCCTCGGTTATTGATCCCCCATATACTCTGGGAGTGGTGTTGTTCAACAATTACCTAAATATGCACTCTCTCCCGAGTTATGCATACTAAATAGGCACAGCTAATTGAGAGCTCTTCAACCAACCACAATATAAACGTAGTTGAACAAATAGAGAAAAGCTATGGCTCAATTATATACAAACATAACAAGAATTTATCCTACAAAAGGTTCTATCAAACTCTAGATAACAAATTAGCTATTCATAATAGTATGTAAAATTACAATACTAAAAGTCATAACCAACAATGAAAAATAGGAAGAGGAAGGAAAAACTCGTAGAAGAATTCTCCGCCTTGCTCCCAATGTGTTCTTGCCTCCAAGGGTGTTGTCTAACCCTAAAGTAGTGTCTCCTGGTTCAAAGTGGTGTTTTAGGATGTATTTATATGACCTAGGGTTGATGAGGGGCGGAATTCTTCAATCCAACTTCAGATGGGAGAGCTGGAATCCGCATCTGCTTTTGCGTCTAGACGCGGACTTTGACGCGGATCCGCGTCTGCCTTCGCGTCTAGAAGCGGACTTTGACGCGGATGCAGCTTTTGAAATTCTTCCATTTCGCGAAGCGCTCCGTGCCTTTGCTTCGCTTCGCTGTTTTGTGCCTTAATTTTTCTCCTTTTTCGCGTCCGACTTCGTGCCACGCACAAGAGTAGACGAGCTCCCACTCCTTTACTTTCTTCTTTTTGTGTCGAATTATCATCTTTTGATCATTTATCATCCAAACTCGTTCCTACACATAAGAAACACATAATGAGTATATTTCACTTCGAAAATCATGTAATCTCCCGCGACACACACAAGAATTAATATGCAAATATACTTAAAAATATGCACTTTTCATCATTTATCACATAGCCTGAGTCTTGGTTTAACCGTAGTTGAACTTCTTGGCGAAGGCGCATAGCCTTGATTTAATGACGAAGGCGCATAGCCTGAGTCTTGGTTTAACCGTAGTTGAACTTCTTGGCGAAGGCGCATAGCCTTGATTTAATGACGAAGGCGCATAGCCTGAGTCTTGGTTTAACCGTAGTTGAACTTCTTGGCGAAGGCACATAGCCTTGATTTAATGACGAAGGCGCATAGCTTGAGTCTTGGTTCAACCGTAGTTGAACTTACTGGCGAAGGCGCATAGCCTGAGTCTTGGTTCAACCGTAGTTNCATAATAGTATGTAAAACTACAATACTAAAAGTCATAGCCAACAATGAAAAATAGGAAGAGGAAGGAAAAAACTCGTAGAAGAATTCTCCGCCTTGCTACCTATGTGTTTTTCCTCCAAGGGTGTTGTCTAACCCTAAAGTAGTGTCTCTCCTGCCTCCTTAGGTCTAATTTGTGTCCAAAATATGTCCCACCTTCTTCAAAATAGGTTTATGACCCCTTTATACAAGTTGGAATAGTGTAGGGCCGAAATAAACTTGTCCCGGGCGAAATAGGACTTCTTTTTGACGCCTGGAGGGGCGCGGCCGCGGTCAAAACGCGGTAGGACCGCGGCCAGATAAGCTCTCTGATTTCTGCCGCGGTCAGTTCCGCGGTCGCGGTTTCGACCGTATTTTTTACCCTGTTCCATTTGGAATTTGGAAAAACGTAAAACATGAAAGTTGTAGCCCTTTGAATTAGCTTTCCAACCATATATTGTGGAGCCCAAATGGAGTTCTGAACAAAAAGTTATGTCTATTTTACTAGACAGTGCGCAATATGCCCCCTCAAGTCTTCGTTCGTACTTAATTATCAAATTTGACCCCCGAACACGACCCCGGCTTAATTCCTTGAGCTTTTACTCAGACTTCAAAGCTTCAAATCACTTAAATTCATTCCATAACATCTATATAGCTCGGAATCACACCTACAAGGCATAAAACACACAATTAGTGCAAAACACTAGCGATTAAAGCGCAAACTCAATTAAAGTGCAGTAAATTCGAGTGTAATAAGCGACTAAAATATGCAATTATAGCCTATCATCGGTGGACGGCTAATTAAGTTCTTCACCAGCCGAAATGCAGCAAAGCATTCAATTAATTGAGTTATCATACTTCAATCATGTGACCATGCCGATAACAACATTGGATAATTCATTTTTGGATCTCACATATATTTGGAGATCTTAATTCATTCTTTCAGTTAACATTTTTTCATTAATGACCTCCCTTCCCCTCCCTCAAAAAATTCCCTCTTTCAATTTGCGAAGCTAATTTTTTTCTATATTTTGCTGACAGATAATACTAGTAATTACCAATCTTTATTAGTTTTTTCATTACCATATGGCGCCAGGTTACCTTTGACACCAGGCTGTCTGATTTGAAGTAGTTAAATTGAAACCCCCCAAACCCCCCTCCCTCCCTCCCCCCCTACAAAAAAAAAAAAAAAAAGGGAACAACAGAAAACTAAAAGGATAACTGTCTAAGCTAAGTTAGTCAATTTGACGAAGCTGATGACTGAGAGTATTTATGTTATGTTGATGTCACCGCAGGTGTTAATCGGGTAAGGTACTTCTGGTCCAGGTAACGTATAAGTGTTGAGTTCTTTGATTCATGTAAATTTTTATGGACAATAGTGAAATCGCAACATAAGATATGTATAGGTACCCAAGTAAACGTTTAAAGTCATTTTTTGGGTATAGTGTAGGATTCAATATAGTGATTCTTTGCTGTGTTTTTGTTTTCGGATTTCAGAGAATACGGTTAATTAACACATTAAAAACACTTTAATTAGACCACTAGCTAACGTTCAGCACCTTAGGAACTCCTAAGTACTATAGATTTATAAATAAGTCTGTTTACCCTTAAAATTGGATAATAATTAAATTTATAATATGGTTTTAAGGACACGTGATTTCACCTAATACAAATTGATAAATGTAAAGATTAATGATGGAAATTAACAATAAGATAAGGCAAACCAGTGTTTGAGCAAATTCAGACCTCGAGTCGAACACCCTCGAACTGATCGATGCAAGAACAATTAAAAATATAACAATCTGATGAACAAGAATATAAACTAGAAAGTAGTGTATTTCTTTGATATGCGTGAGTGTGAGGTGTTTACAAAATTATTAGGACTCTCTCACTACTAGAAAAATATTAATTTATGACCGAAATTTGTGACTGAATATATAATGATCGCTAATGCGACTAAATTTGTGACTGCAATAGTCGGAAACTAATTTTAATTTTATAAACAACGCAGGAATTTCGAGCCTTCACATTTACGACCGATTCAGCCGCAAAGTAAAAAGTCAAAAATATGTGACCCAATAAAACTGACTGCGTCGGTCGGAAATATAGAATTTAAACAAAAAAAAAATATATATTTGACACTTTGCGACCGCAGTCGGAAAACCAAATTAAAAATTAGACACTAGATCCCTATTTCCCCAATTTCTTTCACGATCTGTCTCTCTCTATTTTTCCTCTCTACTTTCTCTTCCACTGACCTATCGACTGACGGCGGCAAACAGTGGTTGAAGACGGCAGCAAACGGTGGTTGACGACGGCAGGCATCAGTGCGAAGATCTGTGAAATCCCCTCTTCTCGGTTGGTTTTTCTCATTCTTATAACCTAGAAACTTTGTGAGTTTAGTCATCTAGTAAAAATTTCGAATTTCTTAACAAATAATTTCACTTGCATTGGTATTTATCAGTTAAAGAAGTAAAAAACATTCTGTAACTTTGCTTTATTTCTGTCTTTGTTTTTACGTTTCTCTTGCTATCACACTATAATTGTGGGTTAATTTGTACTTGGATTTAGATTCTCTATTTTACTGTGTTATGTGTGTTTTCCTTTGCTATTTATGTGTATTGGGTATTTCATTAGGCAATGCCTCTACTAAATCGAAAATTAGTATGACTATAAGAATAATTGCACGACAATTTATGTTGTTGTTGGTAATTGGTTTAATCCTACTGGCTAAGTCAACCACAAGTTGACCTAGTATACTAGAGCAGCACATTTGCCCTGAGGTTTAATTGTTTGGTTCTGTGACTTTGGAAAATAGTTGGTTATAAATAATTTTTGGTACTATTGTTGGATAGGTCTTAGGGAAGCATTGTTAGCATTGTTGCTGAGAATGTGGAAGACAAGATCGATGCTTAAAATTGGCCGAGGAGTAGTTGGGAAGACGAAAGCATGAAAAACACAAAGGGGGTGAGTGATATTTTTAAAGGTAGATACAATAACAAGGTTTAATTGTTTGGTTCAGCACATTTGACCTTCCCTAAGACACATGAACGAATAGTTTTATACTCCTTTTATCCCTATGTATATAAATTCTTCCCATTTTTGAGATTCTCCAGTAAAGAGATTTTACTGTTTCAAGAGGCGGCTTGGCTTACTGTACAATGATGGATAATACTACCATATCAAGGTGAAATGACTCAAACTCATGGCCATCTATGCCTCTAAAGTTTGATACCATCTCACTAGTAATACTAATATTATTCTATATAATTTTCACAAACTTGTAAAATGTAAATTTATTAAAACTGGCTGAAATTTCAATGTGATGCTTAAAAATTTAATAATGATATAAAATTTTCTTGTCTCACTACTAAGATAATAAAGAATATAAAAAGAAGTCAAATTTACATTTTAAAATTTTTGTGTAGTCATGTTAAGGTACTATACAATATCGAACGAAATGTGTTAAGCAAATCCTGTCTTATCTTAATTCTAAGTTTAGCCACCAATATAAAATAACAAGCAGGAAAGTTTACAATGCTTCTCTATATAAGGACTTATCTCATTCATGTGCTTCCTCCGACTGACCTACTACTAATTAATCAGACTTTCTATATTAATGGTACATATATTATATTATTGTGTGTGTATTTCGGCAAACATGTATAATTGTATATACATTTATATATAAAATATGATTTACTTAATATGGCGATGGTCCATACTTGGCATAATACTAAGTAACATTGTTTTAAATATCTTGGATTTATTTTGTGTAGATGGAGCTTGCACATCGTAGATGGATGTATAATCGAACTTATCCTAATCGTAGTGGGTTGAGGGAGGAATTTATAGAAGGGGTCGCTGAATTTATGGCTAAAGCGAAAACACTTCATGAATTTCTCAGTGAAGGGGTGATTAGGTGCCCTTGTGTGAAATGCAAGTGTGAAAAGTTATTGCAACCTGATGTTGGTAATATTCATCTTTGTAAAAAAGGCTTTATGGAAAATTATTATGTATAGACTATTCACGGAGAGGATGTTGCTAGTGTTGGTGTTGTCGATTTTCAAAAAAATTTTGGTAGTGAGGGTAGTCCTTTAGCAGAGAATAATGTTGAAAATTCTCGATTCAATGAAATGGTTAGGGATGCTTTTGTGATGCACCCGGGGGCTCAGTCTGAACCAAATGATGATGCTAAGTGCTTCTATGAACAGTTACAGGAAGCTGGTCGTCCATTGTATGAAGGCTCAATACATTCTAAGTTGTCTGTTGCGGTTAGACTATTAAGTATTAAATCAGATTCGAGTATTTCCCAAGCGGGCATGGACTCTATCATTGACCTTATGAATGAACTTAATCCGAATAAAATTGACCTACCCAAAGATTTCTACACAGCAAAGAAACTGGTTTCTAAGTTAGGACTTTCATCCGAGAGAATTGAATGTTCTGAGAAAGGTTGCATGTTGTTCTATAAGGATGATGCAACTTTAGAAAATTGTAAATTTTGTAACCAACCTCGTTACAAGGAAGTCACAAATTCCAAAATGAAGAATAAGGTTCCAGTAAAGCCGATGCATTACTTACCCTTTATACCTAGGTTAAAGAGGTTGTATGCATCAATGAGCTCCGCTCCTCATATGAGATGGCACTATGAAAATAGACGGCCACCCGGTATTTTATGTCATCCGTCAGATGGAGAAGCATGGAAGCATTTTGATAGGGTGTTTCCGGATTTTGCTAATGAACCAAGAAATATTAGGTTGGGTTTATGTGCAGGTGGATTCACTCCATTTTCTGTCTCGGCTGCACCATATTCATGTTGGCCGGTGTTTGTTACGCCGTATAATCTTCCTCCTGAGTTGTGTATGACAAGTCCATATTTGTTCCTAACCTGTATTGTTCCAGGTCCACGCAATCAGAAAAGTTTGATTGATGTATAGATGCAACCTTTATTGATGAGTTAAAGTTATTGTGCCATGAAGGTGTGGAAACATATGATATATCAACTAAACAAAACTTCAGATTGCGTGCTGCTTTGATGTGGACTATAAATAATTTACCTGCCTATGGAATGTTGTCCGGGTGGTCGACTGCGGGAAAGTTAGCTTGCCCAACTTGTATGGAAGACACAGAAACATTCACGTTGAAACATGGAGGAAAGAACACATGGTTTGATTGCCACCGTCAATTCCTGCCTAGGGATCACGAGTTTAGGAAAAATACTAGTGCATTCATGAAGAACCAAACTAATTTTGAGGAGCCACTGTCACCATTGTCGCCAGAAAAAATTTGGAACAGAGTTTGGTCTCTACCTAAGGTAATAGAGTCTGCAATGTCTAATAAGATATCTGGTTATGGTGTTACTCATAATTGGACTAAACAGAGCATATTTTGGGAGTTACTAAGCATAACCTTCTTCGGCATAATCTGGATGTCATGCATATCGAGAAAAACTTTTTGACAACACATTTAATACTGTAATGGATGTCAATAGCAAGACAAAAGATAACTCAAAGGCTAGGATGGACTTAAAGGAATATAATAGACGAAGTGAGTTGTACCTGACATACATGATAAACAAGATTCAGAAGCCCAAGGCCAGTTACACATTCACTTTCGATGAGAGAAGAGATATTTGTGATTGGGTTAAGAATTTAAGGATGCCTGATGGATATGCGTCAAACTTATCTAGGTGTGTTGACATGAAAGAAGGGAAGTTGACGTCTATGAAGAGCCACGATTGTCATATTTTCCTTGAATCATTGATGCCTATTGCGTTCAAAGCCTTACGTGATAGAATATGGAAACCCATTACTGAGATAAGTTTTTTCAAGGAGTTGTGTTCTAGCACATTGAAGGTGGAGAACCTAGCTTACATGTAGAGTAACATTTGCTTAACTTTAAACAAGCTGGCAAAAATTTTTCCTCTTGGATTTTTTGATGTAATGGAACATCTTCCAATTCATCTTGCGCAAGAGGCCCGACTTGGAGGGTCTGTTCAGTGTAGATGGATGTATCCTTACGAGAGGTAATGACTTTAAATTATTTTCCCTTGATGTGTTTTAATTAAACATTAATTCATCTAAAAATTATGATATGCAGGACTATTGGAAAATGTAAGTGGAACGTGAAAAATAGATCCAGGATTGAGGGATCGATATGTGAGGCACATCTGGCTAAAGAAACTTCTTTTTTCTGTTCATATTATTTTGAACATGATGTGCCATGTTTGAGAAATATGCCAAATCGGCATGATGATGGAGGTGTTTTTGATCGAGCCGCGTGCTTCTATGACATATGTAAGATCCTAACAACAAGATTCTCAAGTTTCTTCTTTTGGTTTTGCATTGGGATAACACTTAGTCTGATTCTTACAAGATTAGCACAAAAAACTCTTGTGAGTTAAACAATTAGTAATCAATGAATTTAACATCTTTCAGTTGGTATTTGTTTAAGTATTTCCTTAAAAGTTGTGTGAAATAGCAACTGTATGATTGCATGAGCAAATAAGGAATCACAATGGCTTAAATTTCGTATCACAATGGCTTATAGGCTATTTTGGTAGCTGTTGCATTATTTGCATATCCTAAGTGGTAAAAACATAATGAAACTCCAAGCTTTACCCTCAACTATTGCCATTATAGTCTTATTCCATTTTACAATGAATTGGGCAAGGTTTGGATCTAACTCCAAGGAAAACAATCCTGGTGTTGGATCACTCGAATTCTTCCATGAAACCAGAACATGTTTCCTTTATGTAATTTTGTTATATCCAAGCTTAGCACCAGGTAAAAATGTATTTGTTGGGTGATCAAAACTTTGCCAAAGTGTTAAGGGTGTCGATGTATTTGAAGCACACTCAAATCACATTGCCATCATCACCTAGAACTGCTGACTGAATTATTTCGAGTGTCGTTATAATGGTCATGTGTTGATGACCATATTGAGTTTTGATTTTTATCAAGAAGTACCAAGTTGCCTTGAATAATTGTCAACACAGGTAAACTCATATTACCATCTAATATATCAATTGATTTCTCTCTATTTGCTATCAAAACAATAGTTTGTGGATAATTTTTCTTGTACCATATGCCTATATAATAGTTGAGAGAGTTACCCGGTTTGAAGAAACCAAGCCCAATGTTTCCACCTGAAGATACAATCGTTTGGCCAATGGAAAGAAATTCATTAGTAGAAATGTTGTCCCCTGATCCAAAGAAGAGATTAGTGTTGAGATTGAAGCATAAAAAATGCAGAAAGAGTATTAGAAATGAATTGTTGTTCTTCATTTCCATGGTGCAGAAATGTTATCCCCTTGCTTGCAATTAATAGTAAACAACTACTAATTTCTTCCTAGTCTGTTTCTTCTTTCTGTTAGTATAACATTGGTGCTTCACACTGTTAGTATAACATAATTTAATACTTAACATTTTAATTTCAGGAAGCCTAACCGTTTGGAGGAATGGCGTCAATGTCAACTCGATTCCGATGAAGATAGTTCAACCCAAGTGTCACTCAATGATGTAGCTTCAATATGGACACAAGTGGTTGGTGGCGCAAAGAAAGGTAGAATCTACGGTCTTGGATCACAACATTCCGTAGGTCGTTCTACGACTTTATTGTCTGGTGATGCAAGTTATTTGCAGAATCACGAAGAGGTGGAAGCATTATGAAAAGAAGTTGAAGAGTTGAAGGAGGAATGTAAAGAAGATCGCACAAATTTTAACAAATTGCAGAGTCTAGTGGAGAAATTTATGAGTGGACGTCCATTTGATCCTTCGAATGGCGATGATGGCGGGGATAATGAGTTTTAGTTTGTTATGGTAGTGATGTTTGAAACATTATTATTTGTTGTGGTTAGATGTTTAGACTTGGTAATGTTTACACTTGACTATGATTGTAATATTTAAGACTAGATTGAATGGTGCTTGAATGTTTAACTTTTTTTGGATATTTTAGTTACAAATATTTATATTTTCTATAGTTGTTTGCATTTTATGGATTTGATTGGTTGGAATGGAGAATTGATTGGTTGGAATGGTGGATTGATTGGTTGGCATGGTGGATTAATTGTTTAATTAATTGCTGTATATTTGAATTGGCAGGCGGTGCTCTTTTCCAAAAATTTTCCAGTTTTTAGACTGATTTCCGACCATAGTATTCGCAAAGTGTTTAAAAATTTTCCAAATTCAGGAATATTTGCGACTGCTGTAGTAGGAAAATTAAATAAAAAAATATTATTAAATTAGATTTGCGACCACAGTAGTGGGAAATTTAAATAAATATATAATTTTAAATTATTTTGCGACTACAGTAGTGGAAAAACTCAAATAAAATAATTTTTTTTATATTATTTGTGATTTTTCCGGTGAGAAAGATTAAATAAAATTATAATATATATATATATATATATATATATATATATATATATATATATCATTTGCCGAAGTAGTGGAAAAGTTAATGTAAAATTAAAAATTTATTTAAATTGTTTGTGACCGCGTCAGTCGGAGAGTTGACAACAATTATTAGTCGTTTTTCTATTTTGACTTTGCGACAACAGTTGTCAAATTACGGACGGATTCGGTCGCAAACTATTTCAGACCAGCTATTTGCGACTACGATTTTTTGGTCTGAATATCGTCGTAAATTAGCATTTTCTGACCGCTTTGCGACCGTTTTGGAAGTCAGAAAATCGCTATTTTCTACTAGTGTCTTTATATAGTAGAGGAATCCTATCTATAGTATAATTCTAATTACGGAAGTAAATCCCATGATTAGCTAATTAACCGCTTTGATTCGATCCGTTCCGAGATTTTCGTCGTGATCTTCGACCGGTCATGGATATCCCGCTTTTCCGTTATTGCTCTTTGCTCGAAGTCTGCCATATTCGGACTCGATCGTTGCTGGCCTCGATCTCGACTGCCACCTCAATCCCTGAACTAGATACCTTGTCCTCGTGCTCTAGACTGATCCACGACGAGGCTGGCCTTCGACGTAATTCCATGGCCTCGATCGAATAGTAAAATCGGGTAGGCCCCGTTTTAAGCGTATACAGATAGTCCCCTAGTTTCTTGGAGTGTAATGAGAAGAAACGAACTTATCCTTCAATTTTATACCTCGACTTGTCAAGACGTCATCCTCGTGACGCAAGCGACGGAAGTAACTGAAACGTCCCGTCGGTTCATATATCGAGGCATTAAATGCTTGTCAGTTGCTGTCGGCCATTATTGATTCTGAACCGTCACCTTCATTTTATAAATGTGCTTTCCTTCTCTTTTCCCAAACTTTACTCTTGATCTCTGCTCTAATCTTCAAAACTCTTCACATCTTTAAGCTTTTCTGTTCTGCACAATTTCTAGGTTTCGTTATCAATCTTCCCTCAAAACACCAACCCTTATCCTCTTTTTCTTCCTCTAAACTTACACAAAAATGGCGAAAACGTCAAAAACTGTTCCTCAAAACAAAAATCCCTCTTAATCACGTCCGGTCGGCGACAAAATGCCGGTGGAGCCGCGCCCTGAGGAGTGCGTCCCCGAGAAGGGGCGTGTCCTTGATTCCAACTTCAAAGTCGAGAAGACTTCGTCGGTCCCTGGTCGGTGTGAGCCTATGTCGAAATATATATGCTCGATAACTGAGAGTGACCTTGAGTAGGTGAAGAAAGACCGCCATTGGGAAAATAAGGAGGTGGTGATTCCGGCCCCCGAAGAAGACATCACTACCCATGTGGAAGGGTTTCTAAGTGTTTATACTTACCCTTTCACACTGGCTCTGTCGATCCCGTTATTATCGACTTTTGCCGCCAATATCAAATAACCCTCGGTCAGATCCACGATTCTTTTTGGCGGATTGTCATTCTACTCCGATTCTTCACGAACAAAGCCGAAGGGATGCCTTTCATCCTCGACCACCTCATCAGGTTGTACAACCCCGTCTCTTTCGAGGCGCGTTAATAAATGTAACGACCCGACCGGTCGTTTTGAGCTTTTACACTTTGATCGCCAGTTCTCGGGCATGACTTGCCCCATGTAATGTGTTATGACGGATGTAGATCGTCGGTCTTGGTTTTCACGGAAATCGGAATGAATTTGAAAGAACAGTCTCAGTTGAAAACTTTGAATTTGAAAGGTTTGACCAAGAGTTGACTTATTTGTATATGAGCTCGGATCGGAGTTTCTATGATTTGGTTAGCTTCGTTAGGTGATTTGTGATTTAGGAGTGCGATCGGAATTGGTTTTGGAGGCCCGGTGTAGAATTAGGCATGAATTGGCGAAGTTAGTATTTTGGCAAAATTCGGTTGATAGGTGATTTTGATCCGAGGGTCGGAATGGAATTCCGAGAGTTGCTGTAGCTTTGTTATGTGATTTGGGATGTGTGTGAAAAATTTCAGGTCATTCGGAGGTGATTTGGTTGGGTTTTTGATCAAATGCGTGTTTCAAAAGTTTTAGAAGAACTTAGGCTTGAATTCGATGTAATTTGATAGTTTTGGTGTTGTTTGAGGTATTTTGGTGATTGGAACAAGTTTGGATAATGTTTTAGGATGTGTTGGTGCTTTTGGTTGAGGTCCCGGGGGCGTCGGGGTGATTTCGGATGGCTAACGGGAAGTTTTGGAACTTGAGTGATTGCAGATTTCTTTGCTACTTCTGGTGTTTTCGCACCTGCGGCTTGGGGACCGCAGGTGCGGTGTCGCAGATGCGGAAGGAAAGGCGCAGATGCGGTTTTAGGAAGGAGAGCCAGGAACCGCAGATGCGGTATGGGGACCGCACCTGCGGAGTCGCAGATGCGACCATTTGACCGCAGAAGCAGTTTTGGGAGAGAAAGGTTGAGACCGCAGATGCGTTGGGGTGCCCGCACCTGCGGAGCCGCATATGCGGCTGGTGGACCGCAGATGCGGATTTGGGCCTTTAATGAATTTCCGCAGAAGCGGACTTGTGACCGCAAATGCGGTACTGCAGAAGCGGTGGAGGGGTCGCAGATGCGAAAACCCCTGGGCAGAATGTATAAAAGGTTCTTCTTCGCGATTTTTGAAGGGTTTATTCATTTAACTTCGGACTTGGAGATTTTTGGTCGATTTTGAAGAGGGATTTCAAGGAGCTTCGATAAGGTAAGGGTTTTGGACCTCAAAACACAATTCTATGGTGATATTTCATGAATTAAGACTGAAAATTAAGGAATTTATGGACTAAAAATGGAGGTTTAGGGCTTGAACTTAAGAGAGCTAAGATTAAGAATTTGAGGGGTCAATTGAACTCCGATTCTTGTGTTTTTGATATGTATGGACTAGTGGGGAGATAAGGAATCTAATGATGTGAAAATTTTTGAGTTTCGTGAAATGGGCCCGGGGCTCGGGTTTTGCTAATTTCGGGATTTTTGGTATTTTTCGATTGTTTTCGCTTGGGCTTTGTTCCCTTAGCATATTGTGATGTGTTTGTTCTGATATTGGATAGATTCGACGCGCGTGGAGGCCGATTCGAGGGGCAAAGGCATCACGAGCTAGATATTTAGCCGATTCGAGGTGAGTAATGATTGTAAATGATATCCTGAGGGTTTGAAAGCCCGGATTCGCACATCGTAGTGCTATATTGAGGTGACTTGCACGCCGGAAAGCGAGCGTGGGGTAGAGCACCGTTGGGGATTGTGACTTGGTCCGTCCCGATTGATGAATTTACTGTGTATTTGACTTAAACTTACTTGTTATCATCATGGTTTGGGCTGATTGCCATATTTAGGCTTCGTGCCAACTATTTGAACCCTTCGGGGATTTTTATCACTGTTTCCTCACTGTATTGACTTATTACTTGAACTCAGTCCTGCTGTTTTTTCCACTGTTTTCCAATTCAGCCACTTTTACTCAGTTTTTGAGACTTAAATGATATTTCTAAATGATGTTTTGGGCTGAGAAATACTGTTTTACTGTTGCCCGAGAGGCTTATGTGATTTTTGATTGAGTAAGGCCGAGGGCCTGTGTTGTGAGGATATCTTTGGGATCGGGCTGCACGCAGCAGCGGTGATACACTGATTTGATTATGAGCCCGAGGGCCTGAGATTTATACGCCACGAGATGGCTTGATATTGCGCTTGGGCCGTATGGGGCCCCTCCCGGAGTCTGCACACCCCCAGTGAGCGCCATTGACGAAAAATATGGATCGGGCTGCACGCCGCAGCGATATACGGATCGGGCTGCACGCCGCAGCGGTTACTATATGATACTGATCTATGTGTTTACTTTGTTTCATTTGTCTGCCATTATCTGTTGTCTGTGTTACTTCACGGGGTATCTATCTGATTGCCTGGCATTATCTGTTGAGTGAGTGTTGTGCCCGAGGGGCGGATTTCTGTGCTTATCTGCACTAATTGTTTTGCATTCATTTGCATAACTGTTGAAAAATGTCATTTTCAAAAGAGGTTTGAACTGAGCTAAGATGTTTTCTAAAGATTTCACAACTTCACTGTTTTTTTCTCAAGGGGTTTTATACTGCTCCTATACAGCATGATGATTTGCCTTACATGATTTCTTACTGCTCAGTTATTATTTACCATTACTCACTGAGTTGGAGTACTCACTTTACTCCCTGCACCTCGCGTGCAGATGCATGTATTTGTTCCCCGGTAGCGGGTATTGAGCTGATCGGAGGCTAAGTTATCGGAGTTTAGCGAGGTGACTGCCAGCGTTCGCAGCACCGCATTTCTCCCTTTGTTTATCAGTCTTATTTTGTATATTACAGACCTTGTAGTCGTATTTATACTCTAATAGATGCTCGTGACTTGTGACCTCCCGGTTTGGGCTGTGTTTGGGTTAAATTCCGCACTTAATAAAGAAATCTCTGTTTAGACCGTGGTTATTTAATTATGTTAAAACTGTGAATCAACATTTAATTATTTTGAGAAGGGGAAATGGGTTGGTTGGCTGGCCTTGTCTTCACGAGAGGCGCCATCACGACCAGATCGGGGTATGGGTTGTGACAATAAAACTCCAACGTCGG